TCCAGTCTCCAACATTTCAAGCGTAAAAGCGAGAAATACTAATATTCATGACAATAATTTGTCTAATGAACGCGGGACGCGGCGTGGGTAGAGGAGGCTTGCCAGTACACGTGGAAAGAAGCTCTGAGGCAGACCTACCCGTATCGTACTCACGAGGAGACGCCATAGCCCAGCCAACAGGGTAGACGTTATCCATCCTCAGATGAAAGTCGCCACTGTGAGGCGTGAACAACCTTGCAGATAATATCTTCAACTGGTGCTGGTGTAACTTAAGGAACCTTTTTAATCTGGTTCCTGACTACACGTGACCGGCCAGTGAAGCGCGCCATTATCCAGGATAGGCTGACGCCAGAGCCTGGGGACGCGAATTTCGGCAATCTTAAAACTTATACAGTGCCCATATTAGCTAAGTATCTTATCTTTATTTGATGCATCTGGTAAAGTGTAGTGTAGTAGCTGGGTGATTGACCATGACGACGCATGGTAACACCAAACCACAGGTGATTGCTTATTATCACCTGTAATTCTTAAATTCTTGAATATAGAGATTCAGTAGTTTAATTAGTTGCTACTGTAAATATTTGTCTTGCAGCACGTGAGAAGAATTCTCCCTGCCGCCTTCTCCCATGTTAATCCATCCCATTCGTCAGCCAGCCGAGCCCAGGGAATTAGAGGAAGCGTCGTGGCTTACATAAAGGAATCGTCTTTAAGCTAAGATTCTTTGTATTCATTCATGAACTTTCTGAATTACTTACATGCAGAATTCCTCAGGATTAACATGCGTTTATTGTGATTATCATTATTATACTCATAATCTATGTTCCCATTCATAGTAATGATATTGGTTTCACTATAATTCATAGGATTAGATTATTATAATTTGGATTAGTGAACGAACCACACTAGTTCCTGGACGTACTGACTTCCAGTAATAACCCCCCAATGTAGGTGTTTGAGGGTTTGATTCTTTTAATTATACAGCCCATTAATTATTTCTATGATCATATTCTCTAGTATTTTATCCATAGTTACTGGTTCATCTAGGAATTATCTAATGATCAGAAATTCTCAGTTTCCCTCTTTACTATAAAAGCGGGTGGTCCTTCGTAATTTAATTTACTACATTAATATTTAAATAATCAGATTCAAGCCCCAAATGTCCCACACGGAGGGCACCCAGGATCCTTCAATCCCAACTCCTTCACTTCTATAATGCCTGCTGGTCCTCTTGTGTCTTCCCTGACCCATGGAAACTCGCCATTCTTCTACCATTGGCCAAGTCAGGGAAGGATCCGTCTGTCCCGAGTTCATATCGGCCCATAAGTCTGCTTCCATGTCTCGGGGAAACTGATGGAACGTCTTGTTCATACTCGGCTACAATGGGTGGTGGAAATCTCAGGTCTCCTACCTGAGGGTAGGAGTGGATTTTGACCGGGAAGAAGCATGATAGACTGCCTCCTCTTCTTGGAACATCGAATAATGGACACTTATTGCTGGAAAAAGAGTGCCCCTTGCCGCATTCTTCAGCATCAAGAGTGCATTTGACTCTGCGTCTCATTCTGCTGTCCTCCAGAGTCTGGCTCGACTAGGTCTCTTGGGTACGACGCTGAGGTAGTTCCAAAACTATCTACAGGGCCGCTCAATCAAAGTGGAGGTTGGTGGAGTCATCTCCACGTCCCGCCCTCTCTCGCGTGGTGTCCCCCAGGGAGCGATTCTCAGCCCGCTATTATTCTCTATTCTTCTGTCTGATCTCTCGGTATTCCGGGGGATCCAGGTTTTAGCCTATGCCGATGACGTAACCCTCATGGTGGATGGTGCCACTCTCCTGGAGGCACAAGGCTCCCTGCCAAACTCCGTGACTGTGTTCTCTGCAATTGTGCTGCGGAAGGGGCTCGCCATTAACCCGGTGAAAAGTTGCGTCATGAGCTTCTCCTGGACCCGCTTGCCAGACCAGCCAGTGGTGACCGTCGGGGGCTGTCGTCTCCCGATCACTACAGAACACAGATGGCTGGGGGGTCGTTCTAGACGGCCCTCGGCTGACGTGGAGGCATCACGTGTATTACCTTTGGGCATCATGCCTTCGTTGTATGAACATCATGAAATGGCTCTCTGGTGCGGCATGAGGGGCTTCACGGGTGTCTCTCCTAGCTCTCTGTAAGGCCTTCATTCGTAGCAAGATCATGTATGTGAGAAGTCTATGGCTCAGCAGCATCATCGGTGTTGGCAAGGTTGGATCCCATTCAAAATGGTGCCCTTCGCTCAGCGCTGGAAGCTGTGCCCTCCTTGCCAGTCCTCTCTCTTCATGCCGAGTCGAGGTTATGGCCCCCTGCGTTTTGAACATCTCCTCACCCTCTGTCGCCGGCTTCAGTGGATAGTGCGTCTCCCTGCTACCCATCCACTTACTCACCTGCAGCTTAAGGCTAACTGGTGGAATGTGCAAGCTGGACACTCCAGACGCTGTCAGTTGCCTTTCGTCATCTGGGCCTTGGATGCATATTCACAGTTTTCCCTTCCTGTCCCTGTACTCACCCCTGGATCGATCATCTCACCGGTGCCTCCGTGGGCAGAAGAGCTCATCCGAGTTTCTGTGGACGTTTCCAAGCCTCCTCGTTGGAAGAGGGATTTAGAGGGTCTGGCCCCTTTAATTTTTGCAGACCTACGAGCCTCCTTATACTCTGGATACTTGGAAGTTTACACGGATGGGTTCCGCAAAGATCAGCCACCATCCACATCTGCAGCAGCATACTTTGCTCCTTTTTCCTTCTGTCAGTCGTAGAAACTCTCCCCTGCTCATTTGTGCCTGGCCGGGGAACTGTTTGCAATCTTACTAGCCTTATGACTACTTCGACAAGTTTCAGGGCCCTCTGCGGTCGTTTTCTATGCGGACTCGGTTACAGCTCTACATCTGATATCATCTCGGCGTCAACAAGTCCATCTTCATACTGTGTCACAGATTCATGGAGAACTGCTGTCATACTCTGGTACTCCGGGTTGGTCGATTTATCTCCAATGGGTTCCGTCACATGTCGGTATTAATGGCAATGAGGTGGTCGACGCAGCAGCAGGGATGGCGCATGCTCTCCATGACTCTACAAATGTGCCTCTGGACCTTTCCGAAATTCTCCCGCAACTCCGGGCAGCTTGCCTCGCGAGTTGTGAGGCAATGATGGAGCCAGCACTCGGGTCCTCCTCTCTGGCGGGTCTCCGGATTGGGCACGCCTGCCTGGCTGCACATCTCTATCTACAGCTGGTAGATTCCCCCATACTGCCAGTGGTGTCCGATCCAGGAGGATACAGTGGAACACCTTCACTGCCCTCAATTTCATAGCGCTCACGTCAGACTACAGAGTGCCATTCTTAGGCTGAATATTCCCCGCCTCACAGTTCCCGTTCTCCTTGGCGGGGCAGGTGAAAGAGACGAAGACGTCCGTCATGACATCCTTCACCATACTTTCCGCTTCATCCGTCATGTCCGTGGCCTGAAGAGACTGTATAATATGTGGCCTGAGAAGATTGTAGTCTATGACCTGAAAAGACTATAGGGACCCCATCCCTCCGCTATTTCTCGGTATCGGGCAGCCAGGGCACATCCGATCCCACAATTTTCGTCGCCCCTAAATCAACACAACAACAACAACTACTAATGTAAATAAACTATATACTGTACCATTACTAGAACTGCTGACCCCATAATGTAATAGTCTATGCTTATCATCACTAAGTGTCACCTTTTAATTGTATACATGAATTTACCAGAGAACCACTAACACTAGTGGCTTTGACAAGGACAGTAAGCCAGCAGCTTATCGAAGGTCCTGGCATTTACCTTGTTACATTTATTATTTTTCTTGAACTCTCTCATTTTTGTTAGCTTACTTCCTTTTTTAGTACAGTATTAAGTGTTTACTCATTCACACCTTTAAATACTTTTTTTTAATTATTTGAAGTTTTGCCCAAAACACTTTACGTAATAGAGGCTTCATTAGTATGTGAAGCTCTTGTCCCCACAATTTTACATTACTCTTATGGGCTTTGTACATGAATTCTTTTGAATAAAAAATTTGAGGTCTTCTTGAAGGACATGACAATTGTCAAAATTTCTTATCTTCCCTAGTACCTTGGTATCATTAGCAAACATATTCATATAATTTTGCATTCTTTCTAGTAGACTGTTTATATAGACAATGAATATTACTGGTACTAGAACTGAACCCTGTGGTAACTACAGTAGTAACATTTCTTCAGTCATAATTTGCCTCTAATTCATCCTATCCTCAGGGAGAAAACATGCTCATGGGAATGGATTGAGAATGACTACATAATTAGTGATATTATCTACTCTTTATCCATGATTAGGTTAGGTTAAGGTTTGGTTAGATTTCATTACATTTGGTTATGATAATACAGTATATTAGCAACAATAATAAAAAATATGGCATTTGAAAATTATTCGAGTGTAGCTGGGAATTCAGTTTACAGAAAACCAAATTCAAGCATTTTCAGCATATACTTATATTTTAAACCAATGATTTATAATACAATAAAGGTATAACTTGTGACTAATCTGTTTAGGATAAATGTTTACTTGCAAGTTTATATGTAAACTATTACTTGAACTGTACTAAGCTTTCAGACTATCACAAATATCTAGATAACTATCCAGGTGGTTTGAGGGTTGGGGGGGGGGTATATAGTTTCTCATCATAATAGATTTGCTCTGAGGATGGGCTGCTAATTACTGCCCCTCATTTTTATGTTAGAATTTTTTTCATCTATGTTAGCAGTCTCCTTGTCACCCCTCCAATATGGTCCAGTTTCTGTAAAAACCTCATGAGAGAATGTCAATTTTTTTTTTTTTTTTTTTTAGGTCCAGATAAATGCAGTCAACCCAACCATCTCTTTCCTACAACACCTCTGGGATTCCACTAACAAAACTGTAGATACAGATTAAATTACACAAAAACTTTATAAACATGAAACACAAACAGGTAGCAACAGACCTGCCAGCCCTCCAAAGCAAATGTAGAACCAAATAAGGCTTCTGTTGAATGAACACAAGAGAATTGCCAGAGAGGTAATAGTCACACCAACTGTGGCAAGGCATCGGTAACTGTAGAAATGGCTCAGGCCCGCTGATAATGGAGCTGTAAAGGACAAACATTAAATTAAGGCTTAGTATGGATTTCATATAAAGGGTTATATGATAGTAAATGTTCTAAGAATAGTTGATATGCAACAATTTAAGATTCTAACAAACTGGAATTCCAATTCCTGTGTCTAGGTTTAAACCAAAAAGTTTATGACCTAAAACTCAAAACCTCATCTAGCATATCCATCGTTTATTAATTCTCATCTAACCAATAATAGCTAGATACCTGAATTTACTTGTGGGCCACTATCACTAGTGGCCTTGACGAGGACAGAAAGCCGGCGGCTTGTCGAAGGCTCGGTCAATTGCCTTTTTTATCTTTAAAACTTAACGGTTTGGGCATTTACGGCTTCGGCGTGTAGGCTGTTTCACGAGTTTATAACCCTGTAGGTGAAAAAGCCCCTCCTATTCTCAGTCCTACATTGTGGCTTGAGCTTGAAACCATTGCTCCTTGTTTGTGTTACACCTGACCTTGTGAAGAAATTGTTCAGATCAACATCTTCCAAATTGTTCAGTATTTTAAAGGTTTCAATGAGATCCACCCTGTCATGCCTGGTTCACAGTGTTGTTAGCCTTGAGGCCCTCACCCTTTCCTGATATACATTTCATATTAATTACACTGAAATATATCTTCCATGACACAACGCAAATTTTCATTTTTAACATAACTAATCTTAGAAGCAGAAAATATGTAACTAATATTTCTGTTTTATAACAAATATATACCAACTCAGAAAATTTAATAGACAACAGTTATCTGATTAATTTATATTAATGTATATCTAAATAATAAATAAAGGTAGTACGAATATTTTCAGTAATGTTATACTGTACTCCAATAAATTTTAAACTCAATTCATTCATTATTTAAAGTTATGATTGAAATGTTGCACATAATTAGATTATATACAAATATTGTGTCTATTAAGTATCTACAGTAATCTGTTCCTTTGTAATTCTTAATATTACTTTACATTATTATTTAAATTATCCAAATGACAAAATTCATAAGGAGCAACTCAGAACATTTTAACCCCTAAAACTCATAAATAATAAACATTATTAATTATTAATTATAACAATATTAGTAAATTAATAATAATTATGATAATCGTAATTAATAATAATAATAAATAATACAGTAATAATAATAATAATAATAATAATAATAATAATACAGTAATAATAATAATAATAATAATAATAATAATAATAATAATAATAATAATAATAATAATAATAATACTACAGAGTGATCACACAATCGTGATTGCATAAATGAGAAAATCTATAGGTGGTGATGATAGTTCGAATCTATGTGGTTGATGATACCACGCACACGCTCAAGCCTCAGGAAATCTTTGTAGAAGAAAGTAGAAGCCTCAGGAAATCCTTGTGTGTTCAGTAGAACTCCAGGTTGCAAACCTTATACCATATCGTGGTCTAGTTGCTAGAGTGTGTGCCTGGGAACACCCACCGCATAGGTTCGAACCCCTCATCACAGCTCCTATGGATTTTCTCAATAATATTAATACAGTAATGATAATTAATAAAAAATTAATAATAATTAATAAATCATTTATTGATCTATTTATATAAACAAGTGCTTACATTCTTGTAAAGCCACTAGCACGCATAGCGTTTTGGGCAGGCCCTTAATACAGTAATCCTAATTTTCCACGGAATACGACCCACCAAATCATTTAACAAATAGGTACCCATTCACTGTTTGGTGAACAGAGGCTACAGTTAAGGATAGGCGCCCAGTAAATCCTCCTCGGCCAGGATACAAACCCAGGTCAAAGCACTTGCGAAACGTCCTGCGAGCTGCTACGACTACGCCATGGGGTCTATAATATAACAGCAGACCTTGTCTGTGGTATAATCACTGACAAAACAACTGATCACTATCCTACCTTCCTCTCAGCAAACATGGACATAACACCCTGAGTTACCAGTAAACTTACCTTTAGACTACACAACAAATCTAAGGAACCTCATAAATGCACTTCACAATATAAACTGGGAATCTGAACTCAATTAATACACAGGATATAAATTCATTGGCCGACATCTTTCTCTCCAAAACTCCAAGCCTCTACAACACACACACTGTCCTGTCCTCTCACTAAGTAACTGCCAAAAGATTTAAACAGCCCCTGGCTCACAAGTGGTATACTTAAAGCAATTAACAAGAAACACGAACATGAACAAAACATAGGACTGGTCTAGTTACAAAAGAGGTCAAGAGATACTCGTCAATGCTTACCAATATAATACGAAATACTACGGAGCCAAAGTTTCCTTTTATGAGAATAGATTTAAAGACGCAAAAGGAAATATGAAAAAATATGGAAAGCCATCTCTAACATCCTAGGATCTAAACAACAATCACATAAGCAGATAAAACTCAGCTAAAATGGTTACACACTTGCAACACTTAGAAATTGCAACTGACTTCGGACTCAGCAGATTCGTCAGACAAGGTCCTCAGTAGGAGCAGCATCTCCACTCCACCAATTCAACACTTACACCATGCAAGGCTTCGTTATGATGGCCTCCTCATCAGGCTCCAACGACAGCACGGCCATGTCTACACGAAGCAAGACCCAGATGGGCGAGAAGACTTCGAACATTGACGCATCCACCTGTAGCTGAAGTAGTAGTCAGATGTAGAACGAAGACCGCGGCGTCTCCACCCAATTCCTACACACCACGCCATTCTCCACCTCACCTCAAGCCCTGGCACTCGCCCCCTTCAAGCCCTACCACGCCGCCCAAGGACATGCCAGAATAACAAAACCAAAATCAAATTGCAGCTGGCAATCCCAATCATTATGGACGAAGAGGCGGCGGCCGCAGGAGGGAACCAGTAATAGCAAGAATCCATCTTTTATACAAATATCCATGGAGAATCGGAATGGAAACAACAGTGGAGCAGCAGAGTTGTAGATTCTGCGGTTAGAGTGGCTGTCACCGCCTTAACCACTATACCTGTGCCAATATCTCTAAGAGTCATTAGAAATAAGTGTAGACTAATAAACCCTGCATTGTTTGAGTTAGGTAAATACTATCTGTTAAATATATATACTGTTTCTTAAACGAATCCCCCATTTTACACCCGCAAGATAACGTAAGATTTTAAGGGTTGACAAATGTTAATCATCTTGTTTTAGAAGATGTTCACGAGACAGTTAAGCAAGTCCCAGCTGTGTCTGGGTACAATTGTAACAAGATGAACACCCCAGCGGGATTTCTTCCTATTGGGGGGTGTTGTACATGCTGCTATGGCGGTATGTCCACTCACAGGATGAGGGGCGCTTGGCCTGGCGCTCCCCAATAAACTCGCCCCTCGGGGCAAATTTAAATTAAATTACCAAGAAAAATACACGACGCCAACCCACGGTGGATAGGCCATTGTGGTGGCCTATCCTCGTGATGGATAGCCTCCTCGTTCCCCATCCACATCCTCTTCAAGAGCTTAAATTCCCTCCACCCCCCCCCCCCCAACGTCTCCAAGCCCTTTGGGCATTGCAGAGAAGCGATCATCGACCTACCCGGAACGCTGCGCGTACTAGTTAGTGGCTTTACAAGATTGTAAATACTATGCTATGTATTCTCACAAACCCAATGTACCTTCTTGTATATAAATAAATAAATAAATAAATAAATAAATAAATTAAACCTATAGGCGACGATGTCGAGTGCGGCGCCTACTCTCTCGGCACCACTTGGAAATCCGTGCCCTTCTTGCACTGGGGCGCAGCCGCGGTAGCCCTGGCTACCTTTGCCGGGTTTGGGGGGGGGGGGCTCCCCTCAAGTGGCTTCTATGGCCTGTCGTTGGGGAGGAGGGGGGGCTCCGCGCCAGTGGCCTGTCGTTGGGGAGGAGGGGGGGCTCCGCGCCAGTGGCCTGTCGTTAGGGGGGAGGGGGGCTCCGCGCCAGTGGCCTATCGTTGGGGGGGGGGGGGGTTTCCGTGCTTCTAGGTTGCTGTGGCCTGTCATTGGGGGGCTCCGCGCCAGTGGCCTCCTGTGGCTTCTTGTTGGGGGGCGATGCTCCGCCCTAAACCCCCACCCCCTCCTGGCAATATAATGTTTTAACCCCATACAATATTACTGTAGTACATTGTAAATTTACCCAAGGTCACACACTCATCTTCACTAATCTAAATTCTCCAGTGTTAGTCTAGTTTACCCCATGGAAGTTACATATTAAATTTACCCTTGTTACACGTACCAAAGTTTAATTTACAAGGTTAATCTTACAGTGTTAGGTTATTTATTCAGGTTAGCTTCCAACGTTAATGTTATCGTAAGTTATTTTACACAGCGTAAAACTTCCCCAATATAAATTACTGTACCTTTATTATATTATAGTTACCAAAGTTAATGTACAAGGTGATCATACCCAAATATTGAAGTGTAACTTATTTTATTCATCATAAAAAATTAAATATTTTATAATTAAATTTATTATTAAAATTATCGCCATTCCTGTTTGAATCACCGAAACGAAAAGGACCTGTTTGTAACGCTATGCCTGTTAGTGGCTTTGCAGGACATGCTCAAACACCAATGTTATATACTTCTCACAACCCAATGTATTTTCCTGTATATAAATGAATAAATCAAACAAACCAGGCATGGCAGAGCGGATCTCATCCAAACTTTTAAAATACTGAACAATTTAGAGGATGTTGATCCAGAGAATGTCTATAAAAGTTCGTTAAGTGCTTGCATAACTGCTTCGTGAATCTGGCCCCAGAAGTGACAGAGGATTTCAAGCTCAACAAGCCACAGTGTAGGACTGAAAACGGGGGCTTTTTCCAACCACAGGGTTATTATAAACCACCTGAAATCTTTGCACCACCTTTCACTTCCAGTAGATAAACGACATATGAGATTGAGAAGTAAGTAGGGTATTGTGAAGACTAATAATAACAAACAGCAGCTCCTCTATTACTCAAATATCTCCATAGCTCAGTTATGTATTAGTGATAAAACTTACAAATAATGTATAATGATTAACTGTAAATATATAGCTATTGAAATAGAACATTCTCTGTAACTAGCTGACATTATAATATGGTGTGAAGGACAAATTAAATTGTTAATATAATCATCACCGTTGAGGTCTGATAAAGACCTATTGAGCTCTCTGTAATTCTTTTTGCGCTACCGCTCACAGGATGAGTATGGGTTGCACAATAAACTAGCCATCTCCGGTAGCAACAATCAAAACCATGGAACTGTCCACCCGCTGAAGCAGTAAATGTCAAAATTGTTGAACTTTAAAATCCCGCTAGACAAAAATCTGGTCAAATTGGGAGGGGGGGGGGGAGGGTGACCTTGACAAGCCACTAGTGGGTTAGTGGCCCTCAGGTAAATTCAGGCATCCTGTGGGTGGCGGCGTCACTGGCTCTCCAAGGGGGTTACTGTACGTTGGTTGAAAAATTCTGTATATGTTAATAATTTTTGGCACTACAGTCAGCTGTTTAATAGTTTCTAAACATTCGTTGACTGGTCTTGGCTAATAGTTAACTCGCTAAAATTAGCCTTCTGACCAATTTTAGCGAGTTCAACTAAAGTCGGCAAGTTTAGTAAAAACTAGCAGAGATTTTTAAGCCGTCCTGTATCATGAAGTTATTTATTTAAATACTGATTGGCACTACCAGCTACCTTGGCACCGGTTCTTGAACACCAACAATTGAATTCTTTTAAAACAGAAGGCCTTTTACTGCCACTCACAAAGCACTAATGACATTAGCTTGTTGCCCTCACACAGTTTGAATACTTCAAATGATAGTCTGCCACTTTTTACCAATATCCCAGTCATATCACCTAGGAAATCTGTCTATAAATTACGAGTGCTAAATCCCATTGCCAAGACCATGAATTATTATTATTTCACCTTTCAATGAAAATAACTATTGTTATAAACTGATACATAGTTTCTAGAATTGCTAGAAACGGTGAAATGTAGCAAAATAAGATGGTTAGAGAGGTCCGTTGCTTTCCACTGACGGCCATTTTTTTAATACCAGTTTATTTTTTATTTTTATTTTTCCGTACTGAGTTTCTGCTCAACTTTTGTATTATGTTGTTCACTTTGTCTGAAATAATCAACATTGGTTCTTTGCCATTTTTCGGGGTAAGGCTATTTTGGCGCTATTATTGGCCTGACTACTACTACTACTAGAAGCAACAGCTAAAACACGTATCCTAAAATAAGTGAAGTACAATTTTTGTATACAATTTTGTTCACAATAGTGTTCCCAGTTGTCGATGAATGATAATTAGCCTTTGCAATAGTTGTTTAGTTGGGTAGTCCCGGGTTCAATTTCCACCACAGGACAGAAGTTTTTGAGCAACGTTTTCACTTTCACCTGATGCCTTCTGTTCACCTAGTAGTAAATAGGTGCCTAAGAGTTAGGCAGCTGTTGTGGGTTGCATACTAGGGAAGATTAGTAGTTGGTTTGAGGGACCTTGATAAGCCTAACGGGGTTCCTGTCCCCCTAACTAAAGAAAAAATGACCGAGATCCATCCCTTACTCGTTGACTATGGCTGTTCTATATTTTTGCATTTCTGCTTCACTCCAAAATTTCCCTACATCATAATATTAATTCATTGTGTCGGGGGACAGGCAGCCAGTACATACATACAGTACATGTTAGGCTTAGGTACCTAAGCCTAACATGTACATGTAAGCCTAACATCTAGCCCCCCCCCCCCCAGGGTCGAATTACTAAATCCTTTTCGGGATGCAACTTCACAACAGGCTGACTGACTCCTGGGTACCTATTTACTGCTAGGTGGGCATTGGCATTTAGCAATAGGAAATACGCCCAACCTTATCAAATTAATAATAATTAATTGTATCGGGGAACAGGAAACCAAAGTGTATGCATACACGTTAGGCTTTTATAGAGGTACCTCCCCGTAGGTTTACTGACCCCGCCCAGCATGCTACCCCACAACAAGATGACTATACTCCCGAGAACCTACTTTCTGCTAGGAGGTGAACAGAGCATTAGGGGGAGAGGAAATGTGCCCAATCATTTCTAAATATGAATGCTACCAAAATTTATCTTCACAGCACTAACCAAAACGTTCGCTGATGATGTCTGCTCATGACCTACCGATGACAGCTGCATGCTTGTACTGCAGAAGTGGGAAAGAGATGTGGACATACCTAGATATAGTGGATATAGCATACATACCTAGCACGCAGGTAAGGCCCATGAAGAGTGCAGGAATGCCCGAGACTTCAACATTGCTGTAGCCGGCGTTGATCAAGTGGACATAGAGCACGCTGAAGCCCGTTGCTATGTTGCCCATAACGAACTGTGGACACGAGCCAAATTAATGAAGAGCGATTTTAAATTTGACATTTTAAATGACATATATGAAATTGAGATAAAATTATTAGCGTTAGATGTTTGTTTTTTGTTAAAAAACATCACATTTCCTGTTTTGGTGTACCTTGGCAACACTCACCCCCCAACATATGGCGTGGGTACCAAAGTACTAGTACATGGTGTAAACAATATTACAATTTGTGTAGTTAGTTCCAGTAAATTAGACCTCATCAGAGCTGCGGTGTCTGGAAAAATCTTTGTTCTTTCGAACGACTGTTTGACTACGAATACGCACAATCTTTTCTTTAAACTGCATCCTCCCAAAATAATTCCAGTGGGTCAATTAAACATTGCTCTGTCAGAGGTGATATAATACTAGTGAGGAAAACTGACGCTGGAAAAACAATTTCTTAGAAAATAAATCTCGCTGGAAATTTTCTTAGAATAAGGACCTGCCCGAAACGCTGCGCGTACTATAGTTAGTGGCTTTACAAGAATGTAATTACTATGCTATGTGTCCTCACAATCCCAATGTACCTTCTTGTATATATATAAATAAATAAATAAATTTAATAACCACTGAGGCGCATCTTAACTCATTCCTTACCTACTGTGGGTTACTGGCTGATGGAACCCCCATCTCTGGGGTCCACTCAAACTCAGGACTTTCAATCTCGCCTGGAAACCGAAGTGTACTATAGCTTTGCTTTTAGCCATTCAAAGGTTTTTAATTTTTAATATTTTGTTCTTGTTTATCCTACCGTTTTCTTGTTAATTTCTTCAATTTGTAATCATAATTATAATTTTGAATTTAGATTATTTTTTCAAATGCAAATAAATATATGGATACTACTTTTATTCCATTCACATTTTGTCTCTGTTCACTAAACTTATTTTCCATCACTTTTTGTTAGTATTTTACTGTAATTAATGTTAATTTGTATTAATTTATTGTAATTTTTTCACTTGTTTTTCTTTTTTTAATAATAATTTACTGAGAAAATCGACAGGAGCTGTGATTTTTTTATTAATACATTAGGTACATCTGCATTTGTGCAGCTACCCTAGACTATATGAAGGGGAGTACAGTGTGTCAAAAAGCTAGCTACGTAATGCTAAAAAAATCCCCATCACACAGGATGGTTAGTCATACAGAGGCATGTGATAAGCAGTCTGCGCTGACAGACTCTGGATTCGTTATGAGGATATCAACACAAGAGTGAATACGGCAGCAGTGATACTAAAAGTCCCCATCTCGCAGGATGGTTAGTCATACAGGGCCATATGTTCAGTAGTCTGCACTGGCAAATTTTGGGTACACTGTGAGGATATCTTCAAGAACACGAGAGTGAAGAAAGTAACTGCAAAGCTCCAGGTACCTCATGCCAACTGGTCTGAAAGGTCTAATAACTGGGCATTCAGTGATGTAGTGTGGGAGATCATGCCGCAGTTCCTGCTCACAGAGTTTGCACCTGGAGTGCTCAGGATTGGGAGATCCATCACCTGTAGCCACCTGCCACAGGTAACGGAACCCAACCTGATCCTGGCAACCACTGTGTCGCACAGTCTGGTGGGCGTTTTGTGCTGACCATAGATATAGGTTTCAGATCTGAACAAATCATAGCTTTTTATACTAGTGCTTTCAGGTCATTGGGAGTCAGTAATATCTTTCCTATCAGACCTGAGTGTTCGGACCAATACAGTTTTGACAGCAGAGATGGGGATACCTAGATCTAATTCAACTTCATCTTTGTTGCACGCTAATTTGGCTGCAATGTCTGTTTCATTATGATGGGTTATATTTATGTGTGAAGGTATCCATACAAAGGAGATTCGAGACCCTTTACTCTATGCAGCGATTAGGTCCTTTATAATTGGTAGTCGAAACGCTATGCGTGCTAGTGGCTTTACAAGAAAGTAATTTCAACTTAAACTCTATGTTCTCTGTTAACCCCCAATGTACCTTCGTGTATATAAATAAATAAATAAATAAATAAATAAATAAATAAATATTACGATAAGATAGTGTTTTTGTTTTGCTTCATAAGAATTTTTTTTAAGTTAATGCGAGCGCGCGCATACACATACGCACTATAATAATAATAATAATAATTTTTATTTAGGTAAAGGTACATACATAAAGAGATTTTACAAAGTTTGTTGGCTTTATAGATAGAGCTAGTACATACAATGCCTAAAGCCACTATTACGCAAAGCGTTTCGGGCAGGAAAAGGGTTGACAACTTTAGAACAAGCTGAACTAATTTCTCCAGGGAAGAGAAGGGGAATGTTGGAAGGGATCAAGATAAGGATTTGGGACGGAACGGGGGAAATGAGCGGTGCCCAATCACTTGGACGGTCGGGGACTGAACGCTGACCTGCAAGAAGCGAGACCGTCGCTCTACCGTCCAGCCCAAGTGGTTGGGCTAATTTGTCCAGGGAGCAATCAGTTAAAATGTTCCACCCCCACTCCCATAACCCCCACCCTCCCACATTTTATAAACTGGAAAAGGTTCAGAAGTTTGCGACGAGGCTCGTCCCAGAGTTACGAGGGATGTGGTATGAAGATCGACTGAAGGAACTGAACCTGACGACACTAGAAAAAAGAAGGGATGGGGGGGGGGGATATGATAGGAATATATAAAATGCTCAGGGGAATTTACAGTGGAAAAAGACGAAATGTTCACACAGAATACTAACAGAACGAGGAGACATGGGTGGTAGCTGGAAACTCAGATGAGTCACAGATGTTAGGAAGTTATCTTTTAGTGTGAAAGTAGTGGAAAAATGGAATGCACTTAAGGAGCAGGTTGTGGAAGAAAACTATTCATAATTTTATAACTAGATATGATAGGGAAATTGGACAGGAGTCATTGCTGTAAACAACCGATGGCTAGAAAGGCGGGATCCAAGAGTCAATGCTCGATCCTGCAGGCATAAATAGGCGAGTACACGGACTGCGCTAAGGGGTCGTAGTCCTAAGGGCCTGGGTTTGATTCCCGGCCGAGGCAGAAACAAATGGGCAGAGTTTCTTTCACCCTGATGCACCTGTTCACCTAACTGTAAATAGGTACCTGAGAGTTATACAGCTGCTACGGGCTACTTCCTGGGAATGTGCGCGCGCGCGTTAGAGAAATGTATGTAGTAGACATAATACGCAGGACTAACCGGGCTGTGGTGGATATATGTGGGCCTGCAGGCCATTCCAAGCAACAGCCTGTTGGACCAAGCTCTCGCAAATCAAGCCTGGCCCAAGGGTGGGCTTGGGGAGTAGAAGAACTCTCAGAACCCCCATCGAGGTATAATTGAGGTGTATAATAGAGGAAAAATAGATTGGTTAGAAAGTCGGAGGTCCAAGAGCTAATAGTTCAATTCAGCAGGCACAAATTGTTAATACATACGCGCACGCGCGCACGCACACGCACACGCACAAACAGGATTGGTTCGACAGAAATTGTGAGAGGGCAAGAGACCAAAAGACACAAAAATGGAATCAGTATAGGAAGAGGCCAAACCCCCAAACATACCAGCGATACAAAGATGCGAGAAACAACTATACAGCAGTAAGGAGAGAGGCAGAAAGAAATTTTGAAAAAGGGATAGCAGATAAATGTAAAACAGAACCGGGCCTATTCTTCAAATTCATAAACAACAAATTGCAGGTAAAGGATAATATCCAGAGGTTGAAAATGGGAAACAGATTCACGGAAAATGAAAAGGAAATGTGTGAAACATTAAATGAAAAGTTCCAAAGTGTGTTTGTACAAAATGAAATCTTCAGAGAACCAGACACAATAAGAATTCCAGAGAACAACATAGAGCGGATAGAGGTGTCTAGAGATGAAGTGGAAAATATGCTAAAGGAGCTCGGGAAGAACAAAGCAGCTGGCCCAGATGGCGTTTCACCATGGGTTCTGAGAGAATGTGCATCTGAGCTCAGCATTCCACTTCACCTGATCTTTCAGGCATCCCTGTGTACAGGAATCGTAGCAGACGTGTGGAAACAGGCTAACATAGTTCCAATCTACAAAAGTGGCAGCAGGGAAGACCCCCTCAATTATAGACCTGCATCATTGACAAGTGTAATAGTGAAAGTATTGGAAAAGCTAATCAAAACTAAATGGGTAGAACACCCGGAGAGAAATGATATAATATCAGACAGACAGTATGGTTTTCGATCTGGAAGATCCTGTGTATCGAATTTACTCAGTTTCTATGATCGAGCCACAGAGATATTACAGGAAAGAGATGGTTGGGTTGACTGCATCTATCTGGACCTAAAAAAGGCTTTCGACAGAGTTCCACATAAGAGGTTGTTCTGGAAACTGGAAAATATTGGAGGGGTGACAGGTAAGCTTCTTTCATGGATGAAAAATTTTCTGACTGATAGAAAAATGAGGGCAGTGATCAGAGGCAATGTATCGGAATGGAGAAATGTCACAAGTGGAGTACCACAGGGTTCAGTTCTTGCACCAGTGATGTTTATTGTGTACATAAATGATCTACCAGTTGGTATACAGAATTATATGAACATGTTTGCTGATGATGCTAAGATAATAGGAAGGATAAGAAATTTAGATGATTGTCATACCCTTCAAGAAGACCTGGACAAAATAAGTATATGGAGCACCACCTGGCAAATGGAATTTAATGTTAATAAATGTCATGTTATGGAATGTGGAATAGGAGAACATAGACCCCATACAACCTATATATTATGTGAGAAATCTTTAAAGAATTCTGATAAAGAAAGAGATCTAGGGGTGGTTCTAGATAGAAAACTATCACCTGAGGACCACATAAAGAATATTGTGCAAGGAGCCTATGCGATGCTTTCTAACTTCAGAATTGCATTTAAATACATGGATGGCGATATACTAAAGAAATTGTTCATGACTTTTGTTAGGCCAAAGCTAGAATATGCAGTTGTTGTGTGGTGCCCATATCTTAAGAAGCACATCAACAAACTGGAAAAGGTGCAAAGAC